ATCACAAGTCACTTTTTAAAAACTATGCTCACTACAGGCTAACAGGTCACCAAGGACTCAGACATCTCTAGCTTTCTCAAGCCCAAATTACAGCAATTTACAGCTGCTACTTACGTATTTTGAAGTTAGGCTCGCTGCACTTATATTAAAGAAAGTAGCATTTGATTCTGCAGCAACTGCCTTGGCCTAGGAGGAGGGGAAAAAAAAGTACTTTTTGAAACATCACACTGAAGATAGTTGTCTCCTGTAGCAAGCATTCATGGCCTGATTGATGGTTTTGAAAAACCCTATTTTTTCAAAGAGAACACCTTGTAAATGGTACAGAAAACTTCTGTACAGGCCACTTACAAATAAGAACGGATAAGCAGGCAAACCACTAGAGAAATTTCCAGACTCCCTTAGACTTCTCTAATTACATTTATTCCATAGCCAAGTACAACTTGCTTACTAAAGAATACAAGTCCCCAACTCCTTTCAATTTATCCTGAGTAGACATTTGAATCAACTTTACCACTCGGGTGGTAATTTAAGGCAGCAGTTTGGATCAAATCACATTAAAAATTATGGTGGTTTTTTTTTTCCTCCTTATCCTATCTATAAAAAAACTAGGTTTCCTGAAAGCTAGGAAATACAATCAGTTCAGTCAGAATGCTCATTCAGACTACCTTCTTCAACAGTTTCACCACATTCAAGTAATTATGATTGTCTGGTTATACAGTTTAATTTTAGTGATCAGCAATTATGTTCCAGGATGCAAAACACAACAGATGAGCCTAAGTGGGTTCCTCAACATTCACACTCCTGCACTTCAGAGCTGATCCAGCTTCAGTGCCAGCAAAGAGAGTATGCAGCTGCAGCCATGCCATGTGATGCAGGACAATGTGCCCAGCTCAGCTGCATCAGGACACTCAATGCTCCCTGGCTGATGCACAGCCATTTCACTCCAGTTCCCCAAATCTAGTACATCAGGCTGAGAAAACAAGCTGCAGCCAGACAGTTCAACAGCCCTTACACTCTTTGCATGTCAGTGCGTGAGACAATCCCCTTTCTTGCTACTGTGCTCCCTCCCCATTTTCAAAATGTATTTCTCCATAAAATTCACTGTTAAGAACAATTTTGCATTTTTGTCTATAAAATGACGCCATAATACATACTCAAGAATATACAGTTTATTACCACACGAGCCAAACTAAAAGCCACCCTTCCTGGTTACATTTTAAGCCCACCAACTCATGCATGAAGTAGTTTTCTCACCAACATTGTCTTCCCATTTCCTGGTGGGCCAAACAGCAATAAACCACGTGCAGGAGCTCTCAGACCTGTAAACAACTGAAAAGTACATCATCGTAAGTTATCTTCAAAGACTTAAATAAAATGTGGCTCTGCCTTTGTAAGAAAATGGTCTAAGACTGAGGAATGGCTCATTGGTGCAGTGCTTTTAACAGTAGCAGTGCCACAACAGTACAGGCTTCCAGAGAGCTATGCTCTCTGTTACTAACTTGACTTAATGCACGCCACTATTGTTTCCCACACAACAGTTAAATTACATTACGATTGTTCTGTGCATGGATGCACTGTGAAAGCAGTTTAAAACACTGTCCACAAGACAGACTAGCCTATCAAGTTTAAAGCATCAATTCCATTTACAAAGGAGGTAATACAGGTGTTTGTAGTAGGAGAGCTAAAGCAACGTTCTTACGAACTCCATATGGAAGAACTCCTTCGTCTTTCTTTTTTTTATTAAATGAAACTTGAGAAGACAAGCTTTCAACGAAACTATTTAGAATATTACTTAACAGCCACCTACTCCCTCTATGTGCTACTGATAGTCATCTCCTCCCTCTCACTTTGCACTGGCTTCATCTTTCCTACACTATAAAATAGCACCAATCATACGTATCAGCACAGCAAGCAAGTGTAAAAATTCTCATAGAGTACATATCTTTTAGTCATTATTGTCGTCTGCCTTCTCCAGCACTTTGTCTTTATCCTTTTCCTCAAAAGTTTCAGAGTTCCTTTTTTGGTCTCACACTCACCCGTCCCTTCCAGGCTCTAATAATTCCACCAAACAAGTAAAAGGAAAAGTAGGGAATCTCTCGTAT